TGTGTGAAGCACACATTTATTTTTATAATTTGTAAAGTGATTGCTGTCAATATTACTGCCTTCTCTCAGCTCAGGAAACAAATATTATGGGAAGCAGTAATGACTAATGATAGATTTGGTATTATTTTTATCTAACATATTCTTTGCCCACATTGAGAGCACCTCTGCATTTCCATTAAAGACTAAAGATTTATTTACATCCTCCAGTGGTTTGCAGGGATGGAGATGATAATTATGACATAATTAAGACTTTTTAGCTGTCTGTCCTGGGATAGGTACTAACATTTACTCTTCCCTTGGATATTTTCATTCCCATTCCTTGATGGAGAAATGACAATAGAGGGAAACTCAAATCTGTTACACTAGGAATTTGGGGACTTCTAAGAAATTTTTTTTTTTTTTTAAGAGATGGAGTCTTGCTATAACCCAGGGTAGCCTTGAACTCCTGGCCTTAAGCAATCTTCCCTCCCCAGCCTCCTGCATAGCCAGAATTACAGGCCAGAGCCACTGGGCCCAGCTGAATTTAAGGGCTTTTTTAGGAATGGGGAATATTCTAGCAACTTATCTGTAGTGATATATTCTATTTCAAGCAACTTAGAGTTGATGATTATATAGTACAGACTGTAAAGAGGTAATATTTTAGGCAGTGGCTCCAAAAATGAAAGATCTTTGGGTAATCTGATAGCCTGCACACTATAAGGAAAGTAACTGTGGAAAATGAGTGATGTGTGTTTTATTACCTTTCAGATTGCCATGGGGATCCCTCTATATAGAATCAAAGATATCCGTATGATGTATGGGGTATCCCCCTGGGGCGACACTCCCGTTGATTTTGAAAATTCTGCTCATGTTCCTTGCCCAAGGGGCCATGTTATTGCTGCTCGGATCACTAGTGAAAATCCAGATGAGGTAACCCATCACTTAAAAAGCTTATATCTTCTTTCCTTTAATAATTAAGATAGTATCTGAGGGTATACTTCTGAAATATCTTGGGACTTCTGGAGAGGGAAATTCATAGAGATTTGTCAGCACAGATAAGTAAATGATCATTGCTTCATTGGCCATTTAATCTCACCTCCATCAGTATAGAGTCCTCAGTGGGTCTGTAGCACTGGGCCTTGGCCTTTATTCTTTTTGTGCATCTTTTCTGCTTCTGTGTGACTAACACAGAGCATAAATAATGAATGTATCTGTGTTCTCTTCCTTGGAAACATAACATGGTCTCTCATGTTCATCGTTCTCTAACAGGGTTTTAAGCCCAGCTCAGGAACAGTTCAGGAACTAAATTTCCGCAGCAATAAGAACGTTTGGGGTTATTTCAGTGTTGCTGCTGCAGGGGGACTTCATGAATTTGCTGATTCTCAGTTCGGTCACTGCTTTTCCTGGGGAGAAAACAGAGAGGAAGCAATTTCGTGAGTATAATAGCATTTGATTGCATTTTACAAAATAAATCTTTTTTTGTTTTGTTTTGTGCTAATCTTCAGTGAAGCTATGAGCATAGGAATGGGAATCATTTGTCTGCTATAAAAGTACTAATGTGAACAACCTTTTTGAAGAAATATCTTTAGTTGTACTTCCATTCATGTTGTGTTAAATTATGTAGTATCTGGCAGATGTTTTTCTGTTTGTTTTTCTGAGCCTCTTTGAGTATTTTTGGTTTCAAATATTTTTCATAAACTTATAAAATTGATTGCTTTAAAGGTATCATATTTTCCCATAGGAATAGTATTGTTATTGGGGTGAGGTAGATTCTTGACCAAGAGCTTCATATCAAATAAAGAATGGATAAGATCTGTCATTTGTCATCAAAATAAAGAAATAGTTTTAAATCTCTCATAGTCTTTTTTTTTTTTTTGAGACAGGATCTCACTCTGTCACCCAGGAGGCTTAAACTCCTGGGCTCTGAAGCAATCCTCCTGCCTCAGCCTCCTAAGTAGCTAGGATTATAGGTATGCATCACACCCAGCTATTAAATATTTTTAAAATTTTTTGTAGAGACAAGTCTTGCTTTGTTGCCCACGCTCTGGCCTCAAGCAGTCCTCCTGCCTTGGCCTCCCAAAGTGCTGGTATTACAGGTGTGAACCACCATGTCCAGCCTTCCAATAGTCAATTTAAAATAATTTTTTTTTATTTGACAGGTAAAATTTGTATATATTTTTGGTGTTTGACATATGTATACATTGTAGAATGGCTAAATCAAGATATTTAACATGCATAACCTCAAGTACTTATCATTTTTTTGTGATTAGGGGACTTAAAATCTACTGTCTTAGCAATTTTCAAGTACATGATATATTGTTATATAGTCATCATGATATACTCTTATAGTCATTTAAAATAATAAAATTATACTGTTCATTTTATGAAAAGGGCATATAAATTGTCTACACTGCTTGTATGGGA